AAGAAAGAAATATAAAAAGAGAACCTCACAACTATGAAAGAATCTCAAAAATGTAGTTTCCTTCACAGCAATTCATGACATAAGAATGAAGTGCAAAGTTAGAGAACAACCTTTTCTTTCAAAAGTTCAGATTCATCCAGGCTATGAATGGTTTCTGGTAAAACAGATGCATTAGACGCCGTGGTTACTTCTTCATCAAGAGAAGAATGCATATCCAGTAAAGTATGAAGCAAAAAGTTATCATTTCCATGTGATGCAATGAAAGACACAGAAACTGGATGATTATCATGCTCTCCAAATGGAACAGCGGCCTGAGATTCAAACCAATAAACTTTTACCATCCATCATCAAGGCAAGCATACTTATTTGAGTGAAATCTGAGTGTTACACTCTTTATGAACTCAAGTACCTCACAGCAGCCTGAAATGCTGGCAATGCTCAATAAAGAAAAGGCCCTATCACAACCTTCCTTAGATAAACCTGTCTTTGAAGGTAGTGTAGACGGAGGATCTGCCGTAGTAGGAATTACTAATATCCCATCATCCTTTAGAATATATAGTTCAAACAATTTGGTTAGATACCACATGCGCATAAGGTAATCAGACACAAGATGCAGCATAATTAAGCAATCAAAATATGGGTTTAAAAGATCATCATATAAATAAGGAAAAATTGAAAATAATAATCCCAACTATTGCTGGTCCGCTGAAAATAATCCCAACTATTAATTATTTTTGTATAATCCCAACTATATAGACTATCCGCCAATAATGGTACATGACCATATATTACCTCTATAAAAAGTGAATTTTAAATAGAAATTAAGCGTAAAAATTAAAAGTTGAGATTATTTATAGGGATTACTTGTTATATCTCATCTCATCCACTTTAGAAACTACAAGAATTTATTCATATGGACTATTATTGGCGGAAGGTCCCTAAAGTTGGGATTATTCTGTAATAATCAATAGTTGGGATTATTATGAGCGGACCGCCAATAGTTGGGATTATTATGAGCGGACCGCCAATAGTTGGGATTATTACTATCAATTTTTCCTATAAATAATTCTTTCACCAATTAAAGCAAACACTTCACAACAGATAACCTTTAAAAATATCTGTGCCAGACAAATTTCGAACATAAAAAACTTTTAACAGAATATGGTTTTTAAAATTCAATAAACAAAATGCATTTTTGTGCAATATAAGGAGCTGCTACTGTACATATGTTAATGACGGAAAACTTATAAAAGGTTTATTTGCGTCAATTTCGGTGTTAATTTTTGAACCTACAGCCACTCAATGCAAATGAGCAATTGTAAATTTTTACCTTCAAGAGACTATTTACAGCAGCACGCATTTCTTTCCTGACTTTATAGAGAAGCTTGATTTCTTCGGGAGTTAAGGAAATTGCTGCAGTGATACGGTCAGACACATCAGAATCTAACTTGAGTTTGACTTCACACATCCATTCTTCATAATTTGTCCTGAACTCATAGCTGAAAGAGAAATTCAAAACACATAACCAGGGTCGGTCACAATGGTTCATGTTATACTATTTCTAATTTTCTACCATCGCCAAATCAAGAAACCAGGTAAGAACAGGAAAACACATACCTCAGCAAAAGACACATCACAGAGGATAAAGCTCTTGAAATTGAACTTCCACAGTTTGTATTTACAGGTTTTTCTTGAAAAGCTTTCAAGCTGGGGACATTTGAGGCAATATACTTTCCAAAATTTATATCTGTTGAGGCCTGGACTGAATAACCAAATAATGCGGCTCTTATTTTTTTATCACCATCACAACCATATTGTAATTTAGGATAAAGTAGCATCTAAATTGAAAACAACTATAATAAACCGACTGCAACTTACAGCCAGATAATTTTTCTGTGACTCTTCTTACAACATGGACAGTCTTTAGCTTAGGAACCTTAGAGAGTTGAAAAAGATCATCAGCTATTATGAACCGCTTCGTCCTTTTAGGTAGAGTAGAGGAAGACTGAAGTAAAATGCGTCCAACTTTACATAAAACCGATGGGTCACGGGCAAACCAACCTGCAGCAAATATATTAATAATATCAAAAAATCAAAGTATGCAATGACCATAGCCAATAGGAAAATGTATCAACACAAATGCATGTTGGTAGCCCTAGTGACATCGAACCAAATCAAAGTAGCATGGTTTTTTCATTTGATTTAACAAAATGAGAAACATGGACAAAGATCAATGAGTTGCCAGAGCTCGACAGAAGAAACAAATTCAATTTAAACTTGTACAAGCATAAGACGAACACCATGTCATAGTGTCATACCTATGGAATCTAAACTTTGGGAAACCGGAAGAATGCCAATAGTTGACACGATTCCATGAGATGATCTGAATCCAAGGACACCACAAAAAGATGCCGGAACTCTAATGCACCCGGTGGTATCAGTGGCTGCAATATACATTCTATCATGAGTGTAAACTCAATGACTCAGAACATTTCAGAGTTGTATATTTGCACCCCATTTTTTGAGGGGTTTTAAGTTATGGATACCATATTGCAAAGTAAATTCACCATGCTTCAGTAACTTATAACTCAAGACAAACGCTTATACCAAGAGCAAAGTCAACAATATTTGATGCAACGACAACCGCTGAACCACTAGATGAGCCTCCCGGAATATATAATGGGAACTTGTGATTGGTTGGAGTTCCATAGTGCACATTCTTTCCAGTGACTCTGAAATTATGGTGCAAGAAAAACTGTGTCAATCTAAAACATGTCAGATCCTCCAACATCAGATTCATTGAAAAAGGTAAAGAGATAAATAACAAGATAAAGGGAACCATGGCACCACCAGATACTCAGGCATAAGCAAAAATTAGAAGAAAACATTATTTTCCAAAAATCATGCATTATTATTCAGTAAGTTTTGATTCTGTTGTTAAAGCTTACAAAGGCATTTCAATTAACGAAGATTATAAGAACCATTGAGTCTACTCCTAAGTCCAAAAGCAAGCATGGATGTTTAAAGCTTTACACATAAATATTTAATAATGGACAACATTTCACAATCAAAGAATGTTCTGATAGCTTGGATTCACACCACATGTTCGCACGAAATTAACTGTTACCCGAGGCCAAGTTCATCCACAATCGTCTTGCCAACACAAGTAGCTCCATTCTTCAGTAGAGCAGAGACTGCCACTGCCGTTTCAGCAGCAGCTTCATGCGTCCGTTTCCATTCTGGACTACCAAACCCCGTTACGTACCCCTTCACATGAATACTAGAAAACAAGAAGTTAAAAAATTGTAGGAAACAATACCCACAAAGAAATCAATGGGCAGATGGGAGAGGGTAAAGGGTTGGCGACCAACTTGTCATTAATGGCAAATGTGAGGCCGGTGAGGATGAGTCTAGCAGCGGGAGGAGGTGGTTGAGGATAAGGAACTAGCTCAAAACGCTCGATGAATGCACCATAATCTTTTCCAGCAGAGTTTCTGGCACCTAGCCGCCGCCGGCGGACCTCGGCTAGAATCACGATCCCAGCGACACCAACTCCGATCACCACCCAAAGCTTGGGACTTGAGACGTTAAGCTTCGAAAGTTTAGACATGGTTGGAAATGACCCTTGATTGAGGGGCAAATTTAGGGTTTTTGAAGGGTTTAAGAAAGTTTTCTATTGTACCCACGTTGAGTCTTTCCTCGGTGATTTCGCGGGCAAGTTACCGTACAAAAACTTTCTTTCGTCCGAATCGGTGCTTTGGTTTCATCACAATTTTTTTTAGAATAAAATGGGCGGCTTTTTATATTTATATTAAAATCGAATAATCATACAACACAATTTTTTATTACACGATCATAATTATAGAATAATCAAAATTAGTAGGTTTAAAGTTATTTTTCGATCAAATTTGCTGAAATTATTGTAGAGGGTCATTGATTTTAATTTTTTTGTTTACTTTATTAATAAAATATGTTTCAAATATATATAATTTTTGCAAAGTTAAGCAGTTTCAACCAGTTTATTCATTTCAGTCAGAATTTATCAATTTTAATAAATTAAAATGAAGAAAAATGAAATAAATATTCCCCTGTCCTAGTGGACTTTGCCAAGTTCAGAGTGTGAAAAATAAGAAAATTTAAAACCGTATGAATGAGGTTTATGCATTAGAAAGATACATATCTCAAAACACAAATTATTAGGGAAAACTATCAAATAAGCCCCCGTACTATACCGAAAAAGTCGACTAGGCCCTTATACTTTACAAACACTCAATTAAGTCCTCGAACTATTTAAAAGCGTTCAATTAAGTCCTTTCGGTCGGTAAGTAACCGGTTTCCTGGTTAAACGACGGCGACGGCGACGATGTGCTCGAACCCCAACAACGGAGGCTGCCGGGAAACGAGTTACATTTAACCAGAAAACCGGTTACTTACCGACCGAAAGGACTTAATTGAACATCTTTTTAAATAGTTCGAGGACTTAATTGAGTGTTTGTAAAGTATGAGGGCCTAATCGACTTTTTCGGCATAGTACGGGGGCTTATTTGATAGTTTTCCCAAATTATTACTATAATAAAAAAGTGACAAAGTTTTTTTATGAAGGGAAAATGGAAACTAATAATCCAATTTTTTAGCAGTCTTCTTACAATAATCTCACATTTTCGTTATTCATGAATAATCCAACTTTTTGACCTCATCTTCATTCACTGATCCCTGACCGGTTGATGACCTGCTATTCCAAGTTATTTTCTTATCTTTACAAACCAATATACCATAAATCTCACTTTTTGCAAAGCTAATATTTTGCAAAGATAAGAAAATAACTTGGAATAACAGGTCATGAACCAGTCATGGACCAACGAATGAAGATAGGGTGCAAAGATGATACTATTGTAAGAAAAATGTTAAAAGATTGGATTATTAGTTTCCATTACTTCAACATTTTTGAAGTACAAAATGACCCACCAAACCCTTAATTCAGATTATAGTCCAATTTACGTCCTCCCAACTTATGAGGTGTTCATCCTTTTTTTTTTTCAGAATTTCTTATGCGGGCAACCAAATTCAGAAATTCACCACGACACCTGACAGTAACTGATGAACTTTGCGCACGGACTATCTTTTTACTTGCATATGATTTCTACGATGAAGTTGTACTTTTGAACAAACCTCTTTCCATAGCATCCTAACTTAATCAGGTATTGCAATCTACTGTATTTCACAATCTTTTTTTTTTTTTTGAAATAATTTTATATAAAAATGATTGGTTTCCGTTTTGGTTGATCACCAATCGTTAAGTTCTTATAATCTGGGTGTAATTCTGGTGCTGGTCTTTTGTACAAAGAAAAACGGTAACTGTTCTGATTGAGGATACCTAAGCTGTGAGGGTACGTGTCAGAGTCCAACTACTCAACTCGGGACACAGAGAAATTGATGAGTATAAAAAATCATGGACTGAACTAGGTAATCGATCGGACTAAATCTGACTTGACCCAAGTGCACTGTAGTCTAATTGAGCGCCCCTAACTCAATCTTTGAAATCTATCACACTTCATGCACTTAGAGTGTGATTGGCTGGTGCTCTGATTGCATTCAAAATCTTAAGTGGTTTTTCAAGTTTTAATTCATGGACTGATGATGGACCATAGTAGTTGAGAATGTCTACGCAAATGTGTTTCCCCTATATTATTTTTAGAGGTGCTGCTTAATGCTTTCACTCCCATAGTAATGCCTTTACTCATGAAGTTTAATTGGTTATCCCCGTTTTCCCCTTGGGAATCGTGGAAAGAGGAAACAAACATATTTTTACATTTTTTTTCTTTTATGATTGACTACAAAACAAGGTAACTCGATCCTGATGAATGATGTTGGCCAATATAAGTAAGTGTCATCCATTCATTAGCTCAAATCATGTCGTTGAAAAAGCATGACTGATACTCTCATACAGTTAATAAGTTTCAATTAGCGATCAAGTGGAGTAGAGTATGGATTACTATTCATTATTTACTTCCAAGTTCTAACTGATTTCACATTCCTTGGGTATTATTTGTTAATGGTGACTCTTGTTGTCAGGGAATACAGTTTCATTATACGTTTTTATTGGAGAAGCTTCTCTTTTAAGCCCAAAATGACCTTTTAGTGTGTAGGAATGAACATTAAGTTGATCTGAGAAAACATATTCTAGTGAGATTTGAAGAAGAAGCTTCTAGATCTTTCATCTGTCGAGATATGGATGTTAAGGAAGAAGAGGAAATGATGATGAAAACGGTAGCCGACTTTTTGGGGAAGGAGGTGAAAGATTGGGGGAATGAAGATAAGATGAGATATAGGTTTAAGGCACTTAGTGGACAGAGGAGTGACTGGGAGCCTCTTTACCTTTTCTGGAGAGACCTAATCATCAAGGTATCTCGCCACCTCAACACCTTCATCATTCACCCTCGCCATGTCAAACATTTATGGTTTTGTCAAGGTGGGGTGTCCCCTCTGTGTCTTGATCGTGTACTTGTGGAGATGTACAGTTGTGGGGATATATCGCCGGTTCCAAATCTTTCGGTTCAAACAACTGAAGGTTGGCGTCTATCTCAGATTCTACGTAAAGCAGCGTACTTGGTGGGCTTATCTTGGGGATCAACTGCAGTTGAGTTTCTAGAGGAAGATTGCTATGTATTGACCCCTCTCTTAAAGGTATGTTTGGTTTCCAGAAAATGCTAGGGGAAGGATAAAATATGCCAATGAAATTTATATTCTTATGTTTTGTTTTATCTTGAAAATGCCAAGGAAATGACATATGATTGATGTTTATTTTTTCGATTTTTACATATATTTATATTTCTTTCTTAACCTAATAGAAATAAATGCTTAGATAAATGAATAAATAAACTAGAAGAACTAGTTTAAAAAACATCTATAACAATTTTTTGAGTTTTAGCATATCTGTCCCTAATTTTATTTCCAATTTCCTCCCTATTTTGTTTCCTTTTTTATTTTATTTTTCCAGGTTTCAAATGGACTCTGAAAGTTGCTGAGCATTTGGTAGCAATACTGTTTATGATTTTTTAGAGTGACAAATTGAACTTGAACTTCAGGGCTAGATTGGATGTAGGGTTAGAAGGGAAGGCTTGGCTTATATCTATAATCACCTATTATGGCATTCCTTGAATTATTTATAAAACCCCAAGCATATATATGGACACAGACTTAACCCTCCAAAACCATCCCCTCACATACCATCTATCCTAAGTCCTAACTGCACCTTCAACATTTGCAGGAAAAAGCTGAAGAAGTTGTCAATTATTTTTCTGAAAATCACTGGACACCGTCATGTATTGTTACAATGAGGAAGTTCCAGGAAACTTGTGGTGGTCAAAAGGAAGCGTCCGCAATTCTGAGTTACTTGTCAGACTGCCATAAAGCCAAGTACCTTGTGATCACCAAAAATGACCGTATAGAGGTAAATGTCTTATCTTTAAGCGGTAGCCTACCCAAAATACGAAATTATGTTATCTTTATGTGCAATGTTATAAGGAAAGCTTACTGTCATTGTTTTTTATCATAATTAAGGGCTAATTTTGTAAAGCTATAAAAGAAATTTCAGTACTTGTATTTTTTTCTGACGAAGCTAGTTTAATGAATGAAGTCCTAGGAGAATGTGTGTGTAAAAGGTAAGGAAGCTTGTTCATGAACATGAATGAATGTTAATATTCTAGCATATAACCTTTATTAAAATAGGAGCCTAAGAAGTTGTTCTGAAATTAGTATTACCAAATACCATGCGGCTCTATTAATCTACTAAATTATTGTCATGCTTCTCTCATTTCTTTCTATTCGCTTACATGCCACATTCTATATCACCTATCTTGTTCATCCATGGATTCAACTCTTTAATAATACCTCCTCCATCCCAGAAAAATAGTTCATTTGGAGAATATTTTTGTCCCAAAAAAGGAGCCTGGCTTTAATTAAAAGTGAACTTTGCTTGTTACTTCAGTACACTAGTTAACTTCAAATAATCTTGGAGATAAGTTCTAGGTCATAAAGTGACCATTCATAACTTGTAAAAATGTAAAGCTTGTATCGACTTGACTAAAAAATAGTTGTACCTTACCCAAACATTCTTTTTGGACGGAAGGAGTAGTAAAGACTATCGGTGTGGTATGACCATACTTGTCACGGCGGTAAGGCGAGTCGCGGCGCCAGCCAACCGCCATATCGCCTAGGCGACAAGGCGCCCGCCTAGGCGACAATTAGGCGATTAGTCGCACATTGTATAAAATATTATATTTCATATATATAATTATATATATATATTTATATATAACATTATATTTAACTGTATTCAATTTGTAATTTACTGTATTACAAACACTAATTGAGTGTTTGTACTAATTACATTGTATATTACCTAGAATTGATACCAACAATTAATAAATGAAAAAAGGTTTATGTATGTGTGTGTATATAAAAAAGTCAATCGGCTATGTGTACAACTTATTGGGTATACTCCTTAGTGCGTCATTGGATATAAAACATGCGGAGTATTAATATACTGGAATATAAGAAGTCGGATAGAGACAAAAATGATAAGTGAATAACCGATTAAAATAAAAAAACTGGAGAAGAAGCGCAGGTCGTCTTCCACCTTGCGACAGAGGCGCGCAGCAGTAGCGACTAGCGATGCTTTGTGGGGTTCGTCGATTGGCCTTCAAGATTGAGTGTCGATGATTGTCTTTTGAGTTTCAGACTTTCAGAAGGCTTCGGTTCCTAAATTACTACTTACTTTCTAAATCGTATTTTGGGCTGGGCTTTTAAAAACAAATTTATTGAGATTTTAATCTCCCCTGGCGTGCGCCTGGATTGCGCCTGGACGACATGTCTACGCCTCGACGACGCCAGGAGCGACTTATCTTCTTCTGGCTAGTCGATCTCCCAAGTCGACTCTTCTCCATCGCCATGACGCCTAGTCGGCGCCTAGGCGACGCCTAGTCGACGCCGTGACAACCATGGGTATGACTACCGCACCGTTTAGGTATTATTTTAATTGTAGTTCAATTTAAAGTGACTCACTTTACTTTTGGTGACCTAGAGCTCTTTTGCCTCACTTCCCAGGGAGTAAAAGTTTGTCTCGACTCTGGAGCTGCCCCTAACATCACAACTAAAGATTATAATGTTTTACACTTAATCTGGACAGTGGAAAAGCTTGAACAACAGCTTCAGCTGATTGACCAGCGTTATGAAAAGTATGACTTCTAACTCATTGCACTTTTCTTCTTTAGCTTGACCATTCAGAACATCAGCTTTAAAGCTGATTAATACATGCATAAGAGGTTGTTTAAATTCTTTGTTATTCTCTCAAGCAGTCAAGCTTTTCAGCTCAAATATTTTAACTTCTAGGCTTCTTTGGTTTTGCAATTATTGTACGGAGTATTTATTATCTAGCATATTGGTCTGTTTTGCAGAACAAGGAAGTCAGCTCTAGCTTATTTGAAATGTGGCAACAAATCTGCTGCCTTGAGATGTGCAAAAGAACTAAAGTTGGTATCTCAGAGTCGAGATAAATGCACCAACCTTTTAGATCGAGTCGAAGATGTTCTCAGACTTATAGCAGATGCTGAATCCTCTAAAAAGGTTCGTATTCTCATGTTCATCAAGCGCACAACTTTAGTGGCTATGAGGTTGATAATTTTCATTAAATGACTTCTAACCGTGTCATTTAAAAGGATAGAATAAAGAGTTTTAGGGGTCATTTGGTAAGGAGTAACTTATTTTGCTAAATATGCCAAATTTCTGGAATGAGAAGTGTATGGTAACACCCAATCTGTATAGGCAGTGTTTGTGTTTGCTTTTGAGAAGTGATTTGCTTTGGAGATTATTGAGAAAGTGCTTCGTTGTAAAAGTGAGTGGTGTCTGGAAATAAAAGTGATTTTAGAAAAGTAGAAGTCGGGTTATTTGGTAAAAAAAAAAAACTTTTTGTGTGTAATTATTATAGAAAAAGTGAAAAACAGTTATGGACACAACTTTATCGATAAATGCTTACGTTTAAAGAGGGAGAACAAAGAAGCACTTGTTGGAAAACACTACTCCTAGCTTTTCTAAAGCAGAAATTCAATTTTTAAGCAATTGCAAACACTCATATTCTACTTATAAGCTGAAATTTACGGCCTGCATAAAAAATGTTTGTCAGATCAATTAAATTGTGGTAAAAATGATTTCCTAAAAACAAAATTAATGACAAATATCACTAGTTAACTTGGGATCTACAATTTGTTTGGAGTGAGTATGGTCAGACTCTTCATGCCTGACACTGACAATGGTATGTTTGCACTCACTATGATGTCTTGATATGCAGGTTTCTGAGGCTATTCAAATTAGTGTACAAGCATTGAAGGATAATCAGATTAGTATTGAAGAAGTCACTATGTGTCTGGATGATCTTGATGAAAGCATTGATTCTCTGAAGCAAGTCGACGATGTTTTAGGTAATCTTTTACTGCGTATATTTTAAGTTAACGTGTTTATTCCAGTATTGGGGACATGAACTATTTGTTAACGCGAGATAGATGAATGCCAATGTTCCAAATGTAGGGCCAGTTTGGTAAGGGTTTGTTGTGAATGGAATGTTGTCCAGACAAATAAGTGAAATAACTAGTCAAAAGCTACTAAGTTTGCCGATGCGGTTTTCGGATACCAAACAGAGCTTTAGTATAGAATCTATGTGTTTCTCTTACTTTTGAGCATGTTGGCTAAGCCTAAAACACATCAGAAATTAAAATAACTCTTTCTCTCCCCAAAGCAACCTGTAATCTTAAAATTGAATTGTGATTGGTTTTGGGACCTTTCAGGATCACAGCTAGCTCTGACTCAAATTGAAGAAGAGGAGGTTGAAGATGAATTCATGAAACTCGAGGCTGAAATCAAATTTCAACCAAATCAAAACCGTATACAAGATGGAATAAACAATAGTAGTAATGCATTGACTGATGCTCTATCAAATCTCAGTCTTAAAGAGAATGGAGCATCAGAAAAGGTGAAAGAACATTCTATAAAGACAACGAGCAAAAATCACATGTCAAAAGATGCTACTTTGGAACCTGCTTGATCGTCTGTTTTAGTACACCATCCATGTTTGGCATAGCTTTCTAGAAGAAAAACATTCATATGGGAATGTGCTGTAGAAACTAGGATTTTGAGAAGTCATTGATGTAATATGATATCTGTCAATATACCGAACAATCCCTTGTAGTCGAGTTGGTGTGTAAATAAAGTGATATTTCTATTATTAGCTTCTCTAATGTCTTTATAACGTTTTCTCTTCAAGATTACAGGATGGAATGGTACAATACGTAAATCAATAAAACATTTCATTTATTATGATTAAGTTTTGCGGGACGGATGGAGTATTAATTATACTACGTAATACTCCGTATTAAATATATTCGATAGAATCAAATCAACTAACTGTCGATAAAAGCTACTCTGTTTATATTGAATTTTGACAACTTTCTTTTATATTTGTCTAAAAAAGATTATCACTTCTGTTTTAGAGTAACTAACTTATGGTTCTGCTTATTTCTCTCGGAAAAACAAATTTCAATTATATTTATACAATTTTGTTTTTCTTATTTCATTTTAACTCAAATTCAGTCAATTTAGATAATAATACAAGATTAAAAAATAACATCAAGATAAATGAAGACAATACATAATTGAATATCTCAACAACTAACAACTAATAATATATGACTAGACATTCCCCTATATATGGGTATGACTGTATGAGTAAACTGTGCTTTCCTTGAATTATGCAAGTCCGATCCTGATTCTAAACCCAAAAAATTGAGCTTAATAAGTTTCGATGCCTAAGATAAGCAAGTTTTAAATTTGAATACTTTTTCGGGTGGGATTGATCATAGTGGTGTTGGGATTGATCATAGTGGTGTTCAATTCGATTCAACTCGAACTTATCGAATATCCAAAAATTATAGGGACAAACTAGTATTTCACCCGTGCGTTGCACGGAATGAAATTTATCGACACTTTTAATAGCAAAATAGAGTCCGGGTTTTTAAAAAAATGAGTGAAGAAATGAAAGTAGAGAGCAAAACTTATATGTCCCGGAATCCAGGCACACTGCTCGACTCCAGAAGTTGGGATTTTTTATAGCAAAAAAAGAATTGGGTAAAGACAACAGTATTACTCAATGATAATGATATTACATATAATAAATCCAATTATATGTGCTCACAAGATACAACATCATATAAGATGGAAAATTCATATAAGAAAAAGGATGTACGGGGGTAATCCATCATGATTCAGCAAGATGGAAAAATTGATCGAGATCAATCAAAAATATGTTCAGCCATCAATGCACTTCAAACCCCTGCAAACCCATAGGCAGATTATGAATAAAATGATGAAGACGATTAGGTCCAGCGCCAGAACCACCCACACATCTCTTCCAAACTCTCTTCACCTTCTGGTGCCCCAATTCACCTGAAAACCAAGGAACTTGTTGTTGGTTACCATACCAAGTTTAAAACATAGATTTGTTGTTGGTTATATAACCAAGTTTAAATCTTGGATTCTTATGTGAAAGACATACTCATACAATCATTCTTAAGATGAACTAACTAACTAAGCCAAAGCAAACACCTTAAAGAAATTTTCTACACATCAAAGTTCATATTTGCAGAAAAACAGATATTTCAAGAATAGAATAGAATAAAATAATTGGAATAAAAATGGGGACTTTTAAAGTACTACGCAGAGCCAAAGTCTAAAAATAGCGACAATCTGTAGAAGTCTTCTTAAAAGTGTCATTTTTTGGCTTAGTTTTATCTTAAAATTAGCATAGTTTTGATGTACATCAAAACTGTTTCATCAAGAGGAAATATATTTGAATACCAAATCAAAACTAAGATATAAAATCATGGAGTGATTCTTAACAACTAAATTAGTAATATGTGAATATTAGCAACTAATCATACAAACTAAAGCATTCACCTGCTTAATAGTTCTGATACTACATGTCTACATGTGTCCTAACATTAGATCTATTGGTTAAGACTATAGTATGAGGAAGACCCATTACCTTCACTTTCTGATAGAATAAATATGTATTGTTTTATACATGCTCCTCCAGGACTTGGACACTGCAGCTTTTTACAATTTTCAATAAACAGTTGACCTATTTAGGAAATCTGAAAAACCCAGCCAAAGAAATTCTGATAAATTAGAAGACACAATCTCATCACACCGAACTTATTTTTTCTCATACACAAAACAAACTTAGGAACTACAAACCATCCAGAAGAATAAAAATGAACAAATTAAAGATGTCTTGCTAAACCATCCAGATCAAATCATTAACATTCTTTACTTCAAATTGTTGGTTTATAGGGTATAGAATTTGGTATGTAGGGCCATTAGATAATACTCCGTAGAATGAAGTAACTAAATTTACATTCAACAAAAATAGGCATTACATATACAAATATATATACAACACACATATACTTTGACCAATAAACTGGCCCTTTTAATTTTGAAATCAATAGAAATCCAATCGTATTTAAAAGATATGTTATATTTCTGTTACCTAAACCTCTCTTCTTCTATATTTCTTTTAAATGCTATATTTTTCGAATTAATGTTAATTAATTAATTAATTACGAAAATAGGGTTGGGTTAAAAGTATTTATTAAAATACTGCTGGTTTAACCAGGGTCGGGGAAAGTCGCCCAACCGTTGGGCGATTATAAGTCGCCAAACCGTTTGGCGACTTATAAGTCGCCCAACGGTTGGGCGACTTTCCCTTAAGTAAATTCATCGGACAACCCCAAAACAGATCTGTGCGTAAAACAATTCCCAAAACCTCCTACCCGCAGCGACGAACGGATGAAGGACGAAGACGACCGAGCCATTTCTAACTCCGGCGAACCTCCATCTCCGGCGACCCCACTCCGGCAAACCTCCATCTTCATCTTCAACACTCATTCTTCTTTGTTCTAGGTAAATCAAACTCCATTTCATCTCATTTTGAACTTAGGGTTTTAAATGTTAAAAGTTTCGAATTTTTGGATTATGAATTGATTGTGAATTAAGTTGTTGTGAAATGTGGATATGTATGAAATGTTGAAATTTGATTTTAAATTGATTGTAAATTTAAATGTGTATTTTGACATTTGGGCATTTGGGTAGACTAGAATGTAGCTAAATTTGGGTATTGAAAGGTAGACGTGAATGTAGATATCAAAATTTTGGTAGTTTCATATTGAAATGTGAATTGTTTGTGAATTTTGACTTTTGGATATATTACAATTTTGGTAGTTTTTTCTATTGAAAATTTGAATGTGTTTAAAGTGTGTATATTGGTGCTGCAGGTTTTTATACTCTTCACAGATTAGTGGCTACTGTGCCTCTAGATAGAGCGCTTCTCACTGCTCTACTTGAGCGTTGGAGGCAGGAGACGCACTCATTTCACCTCCCAGTTGGTGAGGTGACAGTGACATTGGGAGATGTTGCTGTACTTACCGGGTTAGAGGTTCATGGGAGAGCTGTTACAGGCACTGCTTGTCGACAGTGGGTGGATGAGTGTGAGCGGTTGTTAGGTATGCGCCCCGTTCTTAGGACTGACCTTCAGGGGTCATCTCTGAGGATGCCATGGTTGAGGGAGCACTTCCAGGTGCTTCCTCCCGACGCTGATGAGGTGATGATCCAGCAGTATGCTCGGGCTTATATATTGATGATGATGGGAGCCTCCATTTTCGCTGACAAGAGCGGAAATGAGGTTCAGGTGCTGCACTTACCTTTGCTAGAGAGGTTTGATGTAGCAGCACAGTTCAGCTGGGGTAGTGCCACCCTGACTTACCTGTACAGACAGCTTTGTCGCGGCTGCCAGAGAGGAAGCACAAAGCTTGGGGGATTTTTGCTACTCCTCCAGATTTGGTCATGGGAGTATATCCACATTGGCCGTCCCATTATAGTCGGATATCATGGCATTGATGGACAGCCACTGCCTGATGAGCCTCCACGTCTTCTAGGACCTCATCATGTATGGGGCGAGGACCCTCTAGGCCGTCGGTATGTTTTCAATCGTTTGTATTAATGTGAGTATATGTTGTGTGTAAATACATTAATAATATCCATATTAATGATACTGTTACATGAATGGTTAGATGGCTATATGCTGGTCTATCTCGCATGTCATCCGCTACTGGGCTCGGTGTGTACAGGGATGCATTTGATCGGATGTCTGAGGACCAGGTATGGTGTGGGTAGTATAACATTAACTATAATATGTACAGAAAATCTCCTAATTTTGTATCGTTATGAAACAGATTACATGGATGCCGTTTACACCTGAGATGTTAGCAGAGTTGCCCCCAGCTGGACGAGAGCATACTCACATATGGCGAGCACGTGTGCCGTTGATATGTTTTGACATTGTTGAGCTTCATTTGCCTGATAGAGTCTTGCGACAGTTTGGGTTTGAGCAGGTGGTTCCACGGCCTATCGACACTTATGTTGAGCTGCATAGGCTGGATAGGCGTGGGAAGCATACAGAGGATTGGGCACTCAGACATGTCCGATATGTGACTATGTGGGAAAGGAGAGCTGAGCTAGTTGTGGCCGGGACACTGACATATGTGCCATCTGTTTCAGGAGACTACATGGGACGGTATTACAGCATCACTCGTTTGTTTGTGTCTCCTTCGTTCAGACTCCCTACTCATCATTATCAGCCCAGTTCCTTAGCTTTGCATCTTACGGTGAGTATATTACTAATTAGTAAAGTAAGTCATTTTATTTATGTAATATTTGTATATATTTCAATGTAAATGTAATTGTGTTTCACATTTCAGACACGAGCTTTGCAGCGCATACATCAGCGGGCTACTGCCACAGTGACTGATAGTCCTGATGTGGACTTGTATGGACAGGCTCTCACAGACATTGCGTCCTTGTGTTCAGATGTGTTGGGGCCTATGTTGCACGGAAACGCGAAAATCATGAGAAAACGGGAAACGGGAAACGTCAACTTTTGCTCAAAAAAGGCTTATTTGGAGAGTTTCCAAAGAGTTTCCGAGAGTTTCCGAAACGGGAAACGTACCCTTTCCCGAGAGTTTCCATGCTACCTAGGTTGGGGCGAGTCGACTACGGCCATCTTATACACATGCCCCCATCTCAGGAGATGCCATCCACGTCTAGTGCAGCGGCGGCTTCATCATCCCAGACGCAGCATGAGAGAGTGGTTCTTCAACCACGACAACGGCGTAGGCGTAGACAGGAGCAGCAACATCTCCATGACGAAGTTGACGATGGGAACTTGTAGTCTGTCTTTTGTATTGTAGTTTTTCTTATGCAGTAGATGTTGTAGGAACAATTTACAACATTTGACGTATTTTCTCTTGTAAAGTCTTGTATGTTGTCTTGATGTGTTCGAGTCTGAATATTAGATGATTACTTGTTATGAATATTGAATGATTGTACTGTGTTATACCGGTTATTTTCAAGGTGTTTTTTATGTTGATGAGAGGGGGTGTTATGTATGTGGTTGAGAATACGTGTGTTGTATGTTTTATAATGTGTTTTATAATGTGTTGTATCTGGCTCGTAACACTTAAACAGGAGAAGAGAGACCTTATTTATAGCAAACAGATGAGTCCGGGTTGAATTGGGGCGAAAAATCTGCTGAAATGCTGTTTTTGGACCTAGGCACGATCGTGCGTCCCAGGGTACGCACGATCGTGCGTGGCTGGCAGTACCTGCTCGCCTTCAACCATATTTCAGGGGTAAGTCGCCCAACGGTTGGGCGACTTATAAGTCGCCAAACGGTTTGGCGACTTATAAGTCGCCCAACCGTTGGGCGACTTACCCCTGACCGTGGTTAAGGCCCAGCAGTATATTGGTAAATACTTTTTTTCCAGCATTATTTTCGTAATTAATTAATTAATTAACATTAATTAGAAAAAAAACTCTTTTTAGCTACCAAAAATATTTACTTTTTTCATCTGGCACTCATGATGTGCTCTGTGGCCTTCTAATGGAGTTTACTTCTCTATAGCTCTTATTGAAATTGTTCAGTTTTTTACTACATTTATTGTATTTGGACTTGGCTCTACACTACTAATAGTATACGGAGTACTTCATAGCAAATTCAATTTGGAATTTGTAATAGTTTGAGTTTTCTAGTGATCCAGGATATAACTTGGACAGCCTGCAAATGTCAAAGCTGCAGAATCAAATTTGAACAATATAAGAGCATCCACAATGCAATAGTCTCTAGTCTTAATAAATAGTGCCAAGTGTCAAATAAATAATGGACTTTCTAATACACATAATAGGAAGTGCATTGACTAGATATTAAACTACCGAAGGAGCTTCCAATGCATAATGTTTCACGGCCCAATTTCGTGGCTACGTGGAATTTAGTACTCCGTAGTAAATTATCATTCTGCACAGCACAACAACGTAAAACGAATGTGCCCCAGACTCACATAGAACATTACAATTCGACACTTACGTATCTTTGATTCTTCCCTAAATCAATAAAATATTTGTTTATGCTTGCAATTGAAAGAAGAAAACGAGCATTCTTTAATCTGAATCATATATATACATACATGTATGTATGATAAATATATACGAGTATATAAATATAATGATCCAGAAAAATATCATTCCTGCAATTGAATTTATATGAAATTCACCTCCGTTCGCCGATTTCACAAGGTTCGAGATTAATGATCTGAAAGATGGTAACTCTTTCTATACTTTCCCTCTATTTTATGAAATTAAAGATGGAAATAAAGAACGCATATGAAACCTGGAACAAATTACAGAGTATTAATGCTCTAGCAGTATATTTTCCGAAGACACACACATCTTTTTCCGAGTCAGCAAGTCTTAGACCCTTTCTACACGCACACTTCCGGCTTCACAATGTCGAATTTTATTTTTGACACATCAGCTTTCGGTGCTTGAAGACTACCTGCATTGGAAGCTTAATTTAATATACAGTGTCTAATTTTGATGACATGGCAGACTTTACCTAGACTAGAAAGAGAGCATTGCGGATGCTCTAAGAATAAGTAAAACCCAAATGGGAAACTGTGAAGGCTTCAAGCTCATTTTTAAATTGAATACTTGATCCATGGCATCAATGGTAATTCAGCTTTAAAGAAACTTTAAGCATTTGGAGAGAAGATAATATGCCTGGTGAGTGCCTGGATTGGATACATAAACAACACAAAAACTACCAACACAAAAATTAAACAACAGAAATAGAAGCATAAGCATTAAGTGGTGTGAAAAATGCCAAATCTGGGAGTACAACTTGTATGGAAAAACTTATCTTTAAGACTTTAAGAAGAAGCAGCTGAGAATTTTGATGAATCGTTTTAATCAGATTAGGGAGAAATTATATACCCCTTCCGTGCATATTTGAATTTCCTGATTTCAATATCAAGCATTTTAAGGAACGAAATTATTTCCTTCGAATTTCTGAATGTCCTTTTTCCGATGATAAATTTTACTTACACTATTTATCATTGTAGGATTATTATCATTTAGAGGTAGTAAAGTAAATAGATACAAATTTATTTACCAATTAAAGAAAGACGGTTTTTTAAAAACATCCAAAAATGAAAAAGATAGAACCTCTACCAGACAAGAAGGAATATATGTTAATAGTTAAACACTTAAACTTCTTTAATATGAGATTGATGGGTCTAGATATGATCATTAACAAATCGAATACTTACAAACTATTCGAGCACAAACCTATTAATTAATATAATCTAAACTTTTACATTCGAACATAGATGTTTTTAGGAAATTCAATAGGTTCTACATAACAGGGCCTGGGGGTCCCAAATTTTTAAATACTCCGTATTTATTAGTATTATATGGTAATATTATACTCTGTATATTAATACTAATCGGTAAAATACAGTTAGTAAAGAAAAAAAATACAGAGTCATCATTTTTCCGTCAGTGCTTTTAGTCCTACATTACTCAAATTGCTCGAGTAATGTGTTGTGTTGCTTTAAATCAAGTACTCTTTTCGTCTCATTTTACTTATCCTAATAAGTGTCACATTTCTTTTTATTGGGGGGGTGTATGTGGTCTACAACGTATCATTTATTATACTTAAATCTAAATCTCAACTTTTTTCGATCACTTTATTCATAATTGTCAAATCAAAGTAGGACACGTAAAATGTGACGTAGATTGAGATTTTTTTAAATATATTAATGTGTGGTCTCCAAAATCATCGGACAATTCTGCATTCGAACACAAGTGACAAACATGTAAAGTCTAACGAGGTATGGAGCCGAACTCAAACTTCAGGTGTAAGTTTTACCATTAAAATCTCATCTGGATCTCCTCTGGAGTACACCTGATCAGTCTATTGTACTGTTTGGCTACAATCCAAGTTTCTCACTGGAGTCATTGCCAACTGTTACACATATTTCTGTTAGTGATTTCATTGGATCTATATGACATGGCATATACGGAGTATATTGGTATTATAGCGAAAGGGTCAGTTTATATTGAATATTAAACTCGTAGTGCTCATAGGATTACCCTGAAAAAACAAATTTAATGAAGATCTAATACGGAGTATATCTACACGAATCGCACAATTTGGGTCATCTTTCGTGCGGTTACGTTAATCTTTTGTGATTATGTAATATAGACAAAAAAATTAGTCATGTACACAATAAATTTTTAGATATGATGAGATATAGGATTAAAGAGGATTTCCGTCTCAAAATAGATCAGACTCAAACAAACTAAATAAGAACATTTGGAGTTTAAACAAACTAATTTCTAATTTAAACAGACCAACATAAATACGGAGTATTAGTAAAACACATATAATACCAAAACTTTACCGGATCATAACAATTCAAACAAAATGAAATTTAAATGGATCAGATCGAACTATATTATAAAATTTAAGTTCAAGTAAAAACATTACAAATATTATTGCATGCGTTTAAAATAAAATATACTTTCAACTCTTATGCAACTAAGTTTTCATTTTGTTTGTGATGTACTAAAATATAGTTCCTACTCGTTACGTAGTATAATATTGGAATGGTAAATATTCTTTTATTATTTTGTCTAAGAACTCATTAAGATAAACTAGGAAGTCAATTGTCGATTCGTCGGACGAGTTGTATTAAACAAGATAAATGAATTATATGCATAAAAAGGGATAAATAAATTATACTGGTTTAAATATACTCCGTATCAAATTAGTAGCAAGGCAAGCAGAAAAGGTCGTGCAATTGTTTATTTGTTTACTATACTGAATTATTATTAAAATATAATATGTCTGTGAGATATAGGAATGATCTGTGAGCAAATCCGATATGACCGAACTGAACGGTATCAAATTAAATTAAATCGAAATCAATTCAATCTGAGTTTGATAAATAAACTCGAATTGAACTAAAAATCAATAATATAATTATATCATATTAAAAAATAAAAACCAAAATAAATCAAACCAAAATATTGAAAAATGGATTTCTACTACGTACTTCTTATTACATTTGACTTTTTATTTGGTAACTGTTCTTCCGATCTGTTTCAATTCGAATCAAAATGAAAAAGTGATAAAAGTCAAAATGAAATTGATTAGATATGATATATCATACTCGTAGACTCATACTTCTCATGCCCCGCACACATATTTAGGAAATAAATGTGATTTTATTGTTTAGACACTGTTTGGCACTGTTTAGACACTGTTTTGCACTATTTTGCACTGTTTTGATGTAAGATAACTTTCCATTTAAGGAAATAAGAAGATAATTTTTGGGACAGCCCAAAAAGAAAAGAAGGAAGTTAATAGCGGGACGGAGGGAGTATATAGTTATTATTAGTGTACTAAATAGTAAATACTCTATTTTAGACTTATCAATCTAATTATTTTGTCTTTTCAAATAAAATTTAATTTTTTAGTGGTTGATGATTTTTCCAATAAAATATGCAAACTGTGATTTCCTGGCTGAAATTCATAAAATCATTTTCTTGTGGCCTTTGGGAAAAGAGGGGTGCAAAATCTGAACTACAGATATCTGAAAACGACTCTACGGGTCTGCCATGTGCTAAAGCCAAGCGATGGAGTATTATTGCGTCCACCATTTTCAACATTTAATTTTCTGCTGCATCCACTGTTCATCATGGACTATATATATACGCGCCGTCGAGATGAAGTCAGATAATAAATCTGAAATCCACAAATACATATCCATCAAATTGAATCAATTGTCTGTTACCGATTGCTTTGCGACGACGATGACCGGAGTATCAAGGATCGCCGCCAACGGGAACGGAACAGCTCCGAAGGGGCATTTTGTGGTTTACGTCGGAGAAGAGCGGAAGAGATTCGTCGTTCCGACGATGTATTTGAGGAACGCCAGTTTCCAGAAACTGCTGGACGAAGCTGCTGAAGAGTTTGACTTTCAGTCTCCGGAAGGCATCGTTTTGCCCTGCCATGAATCTGTCTTTCATGACCTGCTTATCCTTGCTTAATTCATCGATTACGAGCAGTAATTGTTCTTCTGATTTGAATTTACTGCTGTAATTTTAATAGCTTAGGCGTAATTAGTTGTGGTAGAGATTAATTAATACTAAAGTAATTACAGGCTTGCAGTGTATCTGTGTATGTGTCTGTTAATTACTCCCTCCGTCCGGAAAACAACTTTCTGGTTTGACTTTCACACATTTTTAGGAAATAAATTTGACTTTACTGTAGAATGCACTGTTTTGCATTGTTTAAACACTGTTTGGCACTGTTTAAACACTGTTTGGCACTGTTTATCACTTTTTTGATGTAGATAATTTGCCAAATAAAGAAAATATTGAAGTGTGAAGTTAATTTTGGGACATCCATTTAAGAAAAGTGGGGAGGGAGTATTATTAAAGCCGTCAGGGTTTCAGGCTTCCAGCTCTCTTTAATCTCCTCATTCAATCACTCTGTTCGTGTAAGGAGGGGAAGAATTTTCGAGATCCTAGATGGTTTATCCATATTTTATTTCAGAAAAAATCTTCTTATATAAAAGCTTAAGGGTTTGTTTGCAACAGCTTCTGCTTTTCAAAAAGTGCTTTTTTTAATGAAATGGGGAGAAGTGATTAAATAAAGGTTGATAATGTTTGAGAAAAAAGTGATTTTGAAAAGTAAAAGTGGGTAGTGTTTGGTAAAATAAGTGTTTTTTGTGTAATAGAAAAAGTAAAAGTACTTTTGACGCGGAAGCCGAGAAAAATAAAAGTTGTAGTGTTTGGGAAAATAAGGGCCCGTTTACTAACAGAGATATTTTCCTGTTTTCTACTTCTGTTTTTCGTTCTCCAATTTTCTGTTTTTATTTTTCAGTTTTTCTATCTCCAATTTTCTGTTTTTATTTTTCAGTTTTTCTATCTCCAATTTTCTGTTTCTATTTTTTAGTTTTCCATTTTCAAATCTAAAAACATGTTCATCAATTTTTTTTACCCAGATCTCCAATTCCACACCCTTGACCCCTACCCTTACCACGATCTTGCACTCTACCCATACTCCCCCACAACCCTTCATACCCATCCATACCTACTCGTAGCGGTCGGGGTAGGGAAGTTATGGGTGGGGGTGGGGTAAGGGGTATGGTCGGGGTGGGGTGGTAAGGTCTAGGGGTTGGGTGGGGGTAGTGGGTGGGTTAGGGGTAAGGGTGGGGTAGTGGGTAGGGTTTAGGGTAAGGTAGAGGTAGGGTATGGAGTTGGGATATGATGGCGGTAGGGTGGGGCGGGGACCGGGGTGGGGCCGAGGTAGGGAAGGGGTGGGGGTACGATGGCGGTAAGGGTGGGGGTAGTGGGTAAGGTTGGGGTAAGGTAGGGGTAGTGGGATAGGATGGCGGTAGGGTGGGCCCGGGAACTGGGTGGGGCTGAGGTAGGGGAAGGGTAGGGTGGGGGTAGGATGGTGGTAGGATGGCGGAAGTATGGGTGGACTCGAGCCGGTTCGGGCCCGGGTCGGGCCTCCGGTTCAGAAATGGGGGGCCCGGAACAGTGCCGGGCCGGTTCCGGGTCGGGCCACCCGGCCCGAGTCCACCTCTAGGCGGAAGGGTGCTGGTAGGATGGCGGTACGAGGGTGGGGGGTAGGGTGGCGGTGGGGTGGGGGCGAGGTAGGCGCATGTGGTAAGGGGTAATATACGGGTGGGGGTAGGGTAGGGTGGGTCGGGGTGGGGTCGAGGTGGTAGGGGGTGGCGGTAGGGTGGATCGGGGGTGGGGCCGAGGTAGGGGCATGTGGTAGGGGGGTGGGGTAGGGTCATTATAGGGAAAAATGGGTATGCGGGGTGGGATTGGGTGGGTAAGGTAGGGTAGGGTAGGGGTAAGGGGTATGGTACGAGAATGGAGGTACCGGAATGGAATCGACATCGGAGCGGTACTGGACCCACCACTAGGTGTACGTATGCAAATTCATTGCAACGGCACTGTAGCATCTGCGTTTTCCAAATTTGGAAAACTAGTAAAAGTCACTTCTCCAAATCATTAAGGAAAAGAAAGACATGTCTCATTTTTTCCGTTTTGGAAAACGATTTGGTAAACGCGTTTTTCTTTTTTCCTTTCTCCAGTTTTTCAGGAATTTCTTTGGTAAACACGTTTCCTGTTTTCTGTTTTCCAGTTTTCCAGTTTTCTGGAAAACTGAAAAATATCTCTGTTAGTAAACAGGCCCTAAGTGTTTTTTTAATCCAAAAGCTGAGAAGTGCTTTTTTAAAAGCGGTTGCAAACCAACCCTAAATCAACAAATATCATGAATTGCTTTTTTTTGTTCTTTACTTCTTTCATTAATTGCTTTTTGTGATTTAAATTACTTGTTTTTTTTTTTGACAATTTGGATTACTTGTTGGGATTACTATTATCTCGTCATTTCAACCCTTTAAATTCTAGTTTCATCCTTTGTATATCAAATTTTTGTAAAATTCAAATGAGATACTTTTGCTTGTTAAAATATTTAGAGCCTCTTTGTTGATATTAAAATTTTAAATCTGTTGATTTTGTTCAAATTTATGAAGTTCTAAATGAAGTGGCTGAATTTGACTGATTATGATGATTTACAGAAAAATTATAATTAAAATATACTAGTATTTTATTAGTAAAATAAAGAAAATTTATATGAAAAACAGCTAGAACAATCCTCTATTGTATCTTTAGCTAATACAGTCAGGAAAGTAACACAAATCTTACTTTTTCTTATTATTATACAACTTCAGCGTGCAAAATAAAAAATTACGTGGTCGGTGAAATTTGACTGGTAAGCCCGATAAACTAACACACAGAGTAATTTGTAGATATATGTAGATCTAATTGCGAATTGAGCATCATATTAGTTTATGGGTCATCAACAAATAATGAAGTACACTCAAATCAAATATCGTTACGAGAATGAGACAAGTAATGTGAAATAAAGAAGTAATTACTTGGGACCTAGTCCATACTTTAGATTTTGGTGTTTACTCTATTTCCACTTATGATCCTATTTTATCACTAGACATTTTGGATGAGTTGTTTGATGTTTCTCAACCTCGATTGATTGTGAAAGAAAGATAGGTGGCGGTGCGCCTATGGGTTTACCAAAAGAAATTGTTAATTGACAAGTAGATGATGAGAAAACCCACGTTTCTCTATTGTTGCTAGAGTTATCACGGATAAACATGTCCGTCATGTCTCCTTCAGGGAAATTATGGCAATGATCTGGCGCTCGAGTAAAGGAGCGAGCATCGAACAGATAGGTGATATGTGTTTTATGCTTCGGTTCTTTTATGAGAGCGATATCTCACGAGTTTTGCAGGATGGGTCTTGGCCTTTTGACCAGAATCTACTTCTTATAAGCAAGTTAGAAGAGAGAGACAGACCATTGGGTGTGGAGTTAATCATGCGGAATTATGGGTACAGATCCATAATTCACTTCTCAGCTTTATGAGTGAGACAGTGGCGATTGGGATTGGCTGATGCTTGGGGAGGCTGGTCAGGATTGATGAAAGAACTCTGAAAGGGAAAATAATGGGTTTGTTCGAAACCGTGTGCTGATTGATATAAGAAATGCTCTGAAGAGAAGAACTCAGTTAAGGGAGGAAGGAGTTAGTTGGTTCTGGGCGTACTTTATATACGAGAGACTTCGAAATTCATGCTTTATATGTGGCATCCTGGGACACGCTGACAAATAGTGCCCCTCAAACAGCAGTGCAGGACTATGAGTGGGGGACAAACCGTATGACCCTTGGATGAGGGCAGACCTGTGCCAAGGGGGAACCCACCCTGGAAATAAATGGCTTATCCCGAGTTCAGGGCGTGAGGGGAAGAGCATAAAGGATGTAGAAGAAAGACAGGGTCAGCTAGTACGATGCCAGGAGAAGGGTGTCGATGTGGGATGCTATTTGGTGCAGGGTTTGATTTCGTGAGGAGAGAAAGTGGGAATGGTAGAGGAGTAGCAACATGATAGAAGTTTAAAGGAAGGCGAGTTTAGGAAACGAAGAGCAGTGGATTTGGAGAACATGGTGGAAGTACAAGTCAATATGGAGGTCGATGGAGCTAGGTAAAAAAACGAGGCAACAACGGTGCTACTGAATCAGCACCACCGGGAATATTATTAGGTGATGCAAGTGGGAGTCTTCCTTGTGAGGTGACCGGACAAATCTCTTCTCCCTTCCCGATGGATGGTCAAGTCGGAATGCTGTCTTTGGAGGTGGTGGGTCAAACCTCTTCTCCCTTATTGATGACTGGTAAAACTAGGATTTCTGGTTAACCATTTACCTTTTCAGCTTTCGAACGTTTGTTTTTTTTATATTTTTGTCTTAGTAGCAAGTCCAGCAATGCTGATAGAATAGCCCATCATATTGTGGAGTTAGCGATCTGGCATGGCCTTCTAGGGCTAGCTAATTATATGTATCACTCCAGGGTTGCTTTGAACTATTGTTCTTTTTTGTCCACTGTTACTTTTAATATCATTAATAAATGAGTGTCTTCCTTTCCCAAAAAACTCATTGAGATTGCACACATATAATCTTGATTAGTTGAATTTGTTGATTTATATAAAAACTGTATTTAAAATAAAATTAAAATCATGTGAAATAAAATACAATACGTAGTATTATTTATTGTGATATTTAATAATTCAACTTGTGAGATTAAAAAGTCAGCGATAAACATAATCAACTAATGAGTATGATAACTTGAAATAGGGACAGAGCCCAAATTTATATGGCATCCGATTAAGTTTTTTTGTAGCGTCCTGTTGTTGTAATTTTTTAATTTTATCTTTAATAAAACCTGGTAAATGTTCCTCAACGTTTACTCCACCGACTTAGGTCGTTTACCTACCGGGTTAAAAATAGAATGAGGTAAAGGTCAATTGAGTACATCAAATTGTATAAGATGGAGTAAAGAGTACACAATATTGCATTTGATATTTTTAAGTACACAAATTCGAGTTTTTAGTGTTAATTAAGTACATCCGTTAATTTAACACGTTAATTCGGCTGAGTTGGCTAACAGAACGCTAATAGGTCGACTTTTTGAAGGTCGAGCCGACCCCCAACTACTTCATCTACTTCTTCTAGGTCGACGTCAGTCCCCCGCAGGTCGACTTCTCCTTGATCGATGCACCCCTATTGGCCGACGCCCCTCGTAGGTCGACCTCCGAAGATTGATTTCCCCTTTTTGTTCAACTTCGTGAAGGTCGTCGCCATAACCTTGGTCCATTATCCTTTCTTACGCAACATTCCGCTAGTCAACTAAGTTGTATTAACGTGCTAATCTAACAAGTGTACTCAATT